GGTCCGAGGAGCCCGTCCAGCACCATGCCACACCAGCTGGAGGGCCCGAGGAGCCCATCCAGCCACCTTCTGCTACGCCTGGTCCAGCCTGTGCTTCGTCCGCTGCAGCCTCAGAGCCTTCGTCCGCTGCAGCCTCAGAGCCTTCGTCCGCTGCAGCCTCAGAGCCTTCGTCCGCTGCAGCCTCAGAGCCTTCGTCCGCTGCAGCCTCAGAGCCTTCGTCCGCTGCAGCCTCAGAGCCTTCGTCCGCTGCAGCCTCAGAGCCTTCGTCCTCGCCTGGTCCAGCCTCAGAGCCTTCGTCCTCGCCTGGTCCAGCTCAGAGCCTTGTCCGCCTGTCCCTCAGAGCCTTCGTCTCGCCTGGTCCAGCCTCAGAGCCTTCGTCCTCGCCTGGTCCAGCCTCAGCGTCTTCAGCCTGTGCTTTGCCTGGTCCAGCCTCAGCGTCTTCAGCCTGTGCTTCGCCTGGTCCAGTGCCCACCGGGCCATGGCCAGCACGCCTGACACTGGAGAGCCGCCGCTGCCTTCCGCGCGGCCGGCCCCTGAACTGCTCCGTCGTCTCCTCCGCCGCGCCGCTGCCTCCGCGCGGCCGGCCCCCTGAACTGCTCCGTCGTCTCCTCCGCCGCCGCCGCTGGCTTCCGCGCGGCTGGCCTCCGGACCAGCTCTGCCACCGCCTGGTCGGCCCCCCGACCGTGTGACCCGTGGACTCTGGTGCCTGTGGGCTCTGGGTCGGCCCCCTGAACTTTGTTTTGACTATGGTCATGTGCTCCCGTGTTTCTGTTGTTTATTTTGTTTCCCGTTCTGGTCCCTCCGTCCTGGTCCCCGCCTCCCGCCCTGGGTGGGTTGTTTTCTGTTTTGTTTTGGTTTCTCGGTTGGGCTGTCGGGAGCCAGCCCTTTAGGGGGGGGTGGTGTCATGGTCCTGGCCATGTGGGCCCAGTATTCTTAGTTTTCATGCATTTTTGTATTTTGTTCCTTATTTAGGCCATGTTTTCTGAGTTGCCCTGTTGTGTTGTTCCTAAGTGTCCCCTGTGTGCCCTCTATGTATTGATGAGCCCTCGTCTCCCCTTGTGGTTGTTTCATGTTTCCCAGCCCGTTATGTCGGTGTTTCCCGTGCTCTCTCTCCTCCTGTCGGAGCCTCTACATGTCATGTTCAGTCCACCCCGCCCTGTCTCGTTATGGTTATCTGTGTCACCTGTGTTCCCACTTTCCTCGTTAACCCTCTGTGTATTTCTGTCTGCGTCTTCCTCTGTTCGGCGTCGCGTTCTCCCTCATGTTGTGTGGATCTCCCTGTGTCTCTCTGCGTATGTTAGTTTACTTTTCCCAGTTTAGTTTGTATTTCCTATGTTCTGCCATTCCAGCATTAAAGCTGTGATTTTGAGTTCATCCCCGGTCTGTGAGTTTTGCTATTGGGTCCTTCTCCTGCCTGCCACACAACGTATCATGACAACCCATGAAATTAAGGAAACATGAATGCATCTTTGGGATATAGACAAAGAGTAACAGAAGCAAAAGAGATATACTGAGCACCACATTATAATTCTCGAGTTATTTAAAAGAGAATGAAAGATTAAAAACTTTCTTGGAAGGAGATAGATATGTATAGAAAGTCCCACCATGTGTGTGCCTCACTAATAGTGTTGAGCCCCTGCTGGTCCATTTTCTGAAAATCTCACAGTGTTAGGAAGGTAGCTGCCACATAAAAGTCGGCATGCTATGAAATAGCATATTCTAATAGTGCTCCATTTTTGAGAAGGGTGGGTTCAAAATGACAGCCTGAGTAACAACAGATGGATTCAGCAGTAGTGAGTGCACTCACACTTCTGTCCCTTACAGTAACCTTGACATATCTCCTGCACTGCCAAGCAACTTGAGCCAGCAGTACTGCAGGTGTGACTCTAATTTAGATACTTAAAGATGGTAGACATAGTACTACTTATAATGCACCAAGTGGCTTACTAAGCATGAGTCTCGTTAATACTTAAAGAGTAAGGTTTTATTTTAAAACTCTGCCACATACTAATAAAAGGAAATACACCCAGTATCACTGACAGACAGATATATGAATTGGCTTAAACATTTTGAAAATGTACGGTAAGTCCCAAATAGTCAATTCTATTCACGTGGGCGTAGCGTATTCAGTGGGTGAAATGTTTTATCACATCATTCATCCAAGAGACTTCTTTAGTCTCAGCTAAATGCAGTTTTCCCCCACCTTATAAACTGTGCGTCTGCATCATAACTTAAGCCATTACCACTGATAAACAATGGCCTGTGAGGTCAGTTTCTTGAGCACAAACTGGGTGCATTGTAAGTGGGGATTTCCTTACCTAGATGACTGAGCATGCATCAACACATATACTGTAACGAAATTTCAAGAAAGGTTTTCAACACATTAAAAGTATCCACCCATCAGAGAGAGCTGAGTGAGATTTGAATCCACATCAACTGTTTCTCTGAAATCTGAAACTTCCTTTCACAAAATTGCTATTGATCTCTGTTAGCCAGTTAGATGTGCTCCAGTGTTATACAAAGACTTACCACTTATCTGCCAATTAGACGGGTTTACATTGCCAACATTACTAAGAACACAGAATAACAGTGACATTTGAATTGCAGCTTAGGCTGTATGTTCCCCAATACCTAAGATAGATACAGATGGAATAAATAATATAGAGGGATGGTTGTGCAAAGTTACAAAATTTGCTCAATATCGCACATTAGGCACCAGACCTTATGATCTCTGGAAGAGATGCTTTAGGTTGCAGTCAGCACTTACTCTATATCTTGCACTAGTGTTGTTATATTCATAGACTGTCATTGATTCTGGCCAGACACAAGCACAAGGAAATGCACTCAAAAAATAAATAACCTTTTAGTGAGGCTTTATAGAAGTTCCAAAATCTATTGGGTTAATGTTAGCCTTATAATTTGTATTCAAAATAAATTACAGAAATTTTAGTCATAACAAAAGGTCCAACACACAGGGTCAAGAAATGAGGTCAGTCAAAAAGGTAAAGGCTTTACTGAAGACCCATGTGGCTATAAACAAGTTATTACTCAATATCAAACAATATTAGAAAGAAAGAAGGAAAAAATACAAAAACTAAAGACAGAAGAAGAGACAAAAATCTGAGTGTTGTGCAAGCAGAATGCTAGAAATGAATAAATGAAATGAACAGACATAGAACAGTACATGAAAAAATTAAATATGTATGGCTAGAAGGTGGTAAAACTTTTATTTAAACAAACATGTTGGTGATTTGAAAACATAGGCTGTAAAATATTGTCCAAGAAAGGATGACTCTTCAGGTGGCAAAAAGAAGTCTGAAGTCCGGGACTTAAATGATATGACATGCATGTCAGAGTGAAAGGAAACACAACAGTAAATGATTAAATAAATCTTACAGAGAAGAGTGATTTCTTTCATATATTTAGCTATATACTCATACCCTATAATTCCCCACTACTCAGAATATGTGTCTGTGTAGTTTTTCAAAGCCTCTTCCCTTCAGTGACAATGCTTTGTGATGTCTGTGGTTGGTATGCAGTCTCAATAGTTCTGATCACCAGGCTTTAATCCAAATACGCCTTTGATGTTCCCAGACATCTTGGACCCTGCTTCAAGATGAGTAGAACAAATAGCTAAATGTGATGACTGGTATCTCTGTGGATCTTAAAGGACTGCTGAGGAAATGTCATTGCAGTTTAAATTACGCCTGATCTGATAAATGAAACCTCTTTGTTGACTTTTCTGGCTTCTGTTATTTTTTTTGTTTTTCACTAAAATATAAAACTACTCACCGCTTTCTGGAAAAATACAGGACACCCAAAATCATGTTTTTGAAAATTGCACAAATTGGGTATATATATATATGTGTGTGTGTGTGTGTGTGTGTGTGTGTGTGTGTGTGTTTGTGCTGTTACCTCTGATAGAAACCAACTATCAGTGCTTTTAAAGATACACTCTCTAATTACGCTTTTATTATTATTTTTGAACAGTTCTATTTCCAGGGTGGAATAACTTTCTGACACGATTTTCTGTAAGGCCTGATTGATATATATATATATATATATATATATAATATATATATATATATATATATATAATATATATATATAATATATATATATATATTCCATAATATAATATATATATTATGGAATGAAATATATATATATTCCAACCAAAGTCTGATATATAGAATGAAACTTGAATATATAGAACGATCTTCTGAATATATAGAATGAAACTTGAATATATAGAATGAAACTTGAATATATAGAATGATCTTCTGAATATATGAAATGAAACTTGAATATATAGAACGATCTTCTGAATATATGAATGAAACTTGAATATATAGAACGATCTTCTGAATATATAGAATGAAACTGAATATATAGAATGAAACTTGAATATATAGAATGATCTTCTGAATATAATATATGAAATGAAACTTGAATATATAGAACGATCTTCTGAATATATAGAATGAAACTTGAATATATAGAATGATCTTCTGAATATATAGAATGAAACTTGAATATATAGAATGAAACTTGAATATAGAATGATCTTCTGAATATATAGAATGAAACTTGAATATATAGAATGATCTTCTGAATATATAGAATGAAACTTGAATATATAGAATGATCTTCTGAATATATAGAATGAAACTTGAATATATAGAATGAAACTTGAATATATAGAATGATCTTTTGAATATATAGAATGAAGCTTGAATATATAGAATGATCTTCTGAATATATAGAATGAAGCTTGACGTCACGGAGGCGCTTGCGCCATCTAGTGTTTTCCTTGTTTGTACCTGCGAGGAATGGCACTATGAGCCAGTCCGCACGGAATTTTGTGGCTCAAATTCTAAGTAATGAGGAGCTAATTAACACCTTGGCAAATGCATGTTCTGGCCAACCTAATATTTGTACTAGTGTACCGCATCGTACTACTGATGAAGAAATTTATTCACTTTTCATCGTGGAAGACCAAATGCAGTGAACCTCTCCGGTCAGATAACCCCTGGCTATCCAGCTAACGTTATGGAGAACGTGCCTTCCACATCACAGGAGTGCCCCACAACAGGTCCCATCTACAATCTTAGACCTTTTACTCGAAAGGGCCCAAGGCAGAAGAGGTAAGAACAGAACTAAATGCACTGAAATTACTAGTGGAAGGTTAGTAATAGCCCGTAGGTTTCAATTGCTCGACGAAGCTAAGTAAACAAAAATATCACAAAAAAACAAAACAAAAAAACTGTGCGATAGACTGACAGCGTGTGGACGTGGAGACTAAACTGTGCACAACAGTTAATTTGTTTAATTGTGGAAACATTTCTATAATATTTCACGTCCCGTAAGCTTAATCTGCAAACATTGTGTAAAAGCAAAGCACATCAGTTGTTACAATACATAGTTGTTGGCAGTATATAATTTAATGAAACCTTTTTTAAAGCAACAAAAAGTACTCCGTGAATTGAAGACATTTGTTTATGTGATTGTTAAGTTTCTCCACCCATCCATCCCACTATCTTCCATCATCTATCCATCCATTCATCCATCCATTCTCTTCCACTTATCCAATTCAGGATTCCAAGAGCCTATCCTAGCTACCATGGGGCTAGAGGGTGTTTATTAATGCAGATTAGACATGTGTACAGCATGGTGTATTTTTTTAATTAAATGTACTTCATTGATCAGAGAAGTGTAATATAACATGCAGAAATGTTTAATTTGCCTTTATCCTCCATTAGGTTTCCAGCACAACTAAGCAGGTCACATTCTGTGGCTCAGTCTTTCACCAAAGAAGTGATTCTCTTGCCAGACCATCTAACTACACATGTGCCAAGGCGTAACAAAAAAGCTTGGCTTTTTGAAAATGGACATATAAAATCTGCACTGGAGTTTAGCTGTGACTGGGACTCAGACAAAGTAATGCAGGCAATAAGGACTGCCTTCCAGCCAGTTGTTGAAGGATGCAGGTAAGCATTAGATCCTTTTTTATAAAAAAAATATATTTTTTGTTACTTAGATTATTATACTATTAAAGGTCAACTTTGGGTATTTCCAAAAAGGATCTGGGAGCACCGATCAGATGACTGGATTGATATCTTTTAGAGTTAACAAAAATTAAGCCTTTTAATGTATTGTATTGTATTGTAGTCTGTTAGCCTTAACAAAAATTTCATATACACTATGTTTTCTTCCTCCCCTAGGCTACAGATTTTGCTGGCATGCCACACCAAACTAGTTGAGCCATCACTCACTTCCAAACAGACTTTGAATGGAGACCTTGTGAAAAAACTGTTTCATCAGAAGTCAATTTATGTCAGACCTGACAAGGTCATCTTATGTGAGGACAATGAATCAGTAAGTAATCCTGATCATTTCAGCAAATGTGTGTATGTTCATAAAATGAGAGTGAAAAAGGCAAAGATGGATTTTAAACTCCCTTAAACATTGTCACTAGTATTATGTTTTAATACATAATACATAAACATATTACTAATATTTATTATGACATTTTGTTGTCAGTATAATGAAATGTATTATCTGTTTTAATTTACAGACATATTCTGATGGAGAGAGTAGCCATACAAGCAGGCAGGATTTCACAGAAACGTTGAATTCTGACAAATGCGGTAAATATTCCTATCTAAAAGTCGCTCCAAATAAACTGTAAATTAAGTTGGTTCAGTGTCTGTTACTTAGTCATCTTAGGCATTGTGTCTTTAGCTAAGTGTCAAGTCTTTGTTAAAATCATATTTAAATTTAGTTTAATATTTTGAGCAGGAAGAAATGTACCCCTAAATACATGAAAAGCAAAAGCTATAAATGTGATTAGATGTTATTCAAAAGTTAAACTCCTGTTCTTTGTGTTCTCACAGTTGAAATTTCTAAAGAAGTTCCCTCAGCCATTCCCATTGTTAACGCACAGTCCATGTCTGTTGATGATGAGGTCATCTGGTGCGTTGCTACCCAAGATGTTTGTACTGTTGAATCTTCCATCTCTGCTGACACCCTCACAATGTCCACCAATCCTGCTGTCGTTGCTACTGATGAGGATGAGCCTTACTCCAGTGGAACATCTGCCTTTGTCAGTGACAACACACCTGGCGTATCAGTGGGTTCTTCTGCCAGTGTTACTGGTGACACACGTGTCTTCTCTAGTAACACCTCCAGTGTGTCCAATGGACCTACCCAGCCAAGTTTATCCAGCACATCCTACAGGTATGTGTTTTGTACATGTTTGTATCTTTTAATCTTTTGAGCTATATTGTGCAAAAGTCATGACCCACCCCTGCTTTCTTTGTATTTTGCTGGAAAAATAGGAAAGAAGCGCAGTGATTTACTGAAGTCTACAAAATTCTGTCTACAAACAGACATGGAAGCGCAGTATATTAGAGTAGAACAAAACTTGTAGAATTTTAATGAGCTTAAAATTCAAAATGTGATATGAGCTACTTTAGTCTTCAACATAGCTTGAACTCTCTTAACCAAGCTTTCTTGATGGTGATGTCTTCTTTTTATTGAATTTCTTTAAGCATGGTTCAGGAATAGTTTTCCAGGCTTTTTGTTCTGTTCTCTGTCAAGATGATCCCACACAACTTTAATAATGCTGAGGCCAATCTATGTATTGTGATAATGTAATTCTGTCAACATCATTTATATGTAATTTAACTAAATAATTTACAAAACATTCTGGCTTTGCAGTACATATCTTGGCCTGTTTGAGGAAGAATACCTGTCAGATGACCCCGACCTCCAAGAAGCCATTTCAAGGTCTTTAGACTCAAGTGCAAGTGAAAGGTCAGTACAACACAAACTTTTACATGTTGAAAGGTCAACATATTAACCATTATTTTATGTTTGTTGCGGAAAAGGAGTCATCTACTGTCTAGTTTTGGATCAGTTTGAATAAGCATTTCTGTTGTCATTTGAAGATTACCAAGGCTATCAGATTACTTATATTTTACTTGATATATGTTTTGGTTTATTTTTACTTTTTTGAATGGAGGTTGGTTGTCAGTGTTGGATCTTGTTGTTTTTCTTGTTCTGCTTGTATTTATATAGTGTATTTATACTATTTATAAATACTAGTGTATTTATGACAAGATAAAAATGTAAACTTAGTTTAACTTAAACTTAATCTTTTTTCCATTATCACAAACATTCTTGATTTGTATCTCTTTTTTGTTAAATATCAATTACAGTCTTAAGAATGGTACATTATTATTCTGTTGGTGGGTTATTGCCATTGAGACTAGTATATTTCTTTACTGTTTTTTTTTTGTGTGTGTGTGTATGTTTCAGTGACGTCCAGAGCTTAGAGAGAATCTTGGAGCAGATTGTTACTAGAGTAAATAATGACAGCGCTGTACGCTTCAACATCATAAGGCGAAATGTGTGGGATGGAGCATCCAGAGCCATGGGCAGATCCAATTTTTCACCAGAGAAAAAAATAGATGTGAAGTTTACTGATGACTATGGAATATCTGAGGGTGCTGTTGACAATGGAGGACCTACTCGGGAGTTCTTCCGACTTTGCCTCTGTGAAGTCAAGGACAAACTTGGCATCTTTGAAGGTCCACCCAATGCTAAAGTTCTTACGTGCAATTCTAAAGGTACTTATGATTTTATTAATTGTTGCCATTTGATTTATTTTACATCAATACATTATACATCAATTGGTTTGTGATTACATGTACGAGTTTAGTATCTCATACAGTTAACTAAACACATTTTTTTGGCAATGACAGAATTTTTGTACCACCACAGAGGATTTTAAAAAATTAAACCTAGATTGACTGAAGGGAAGATTGTCTGCTTTAGTTGAAAGGTTTGAAACAGTACTACATATTTAGAAATTCTGGTCATTTTTATACATGCTCTCTCATTTCTCAAAAGTAATTATTCAAATGACTGATATGGTGTAATTCAACAATCAAGAGATGCACTTATGAATGGAAACACAGATGTTTTACAACAAGGTGCAATAGTAAATAACTGGAAGGACTTTGCCAGAAAACATCTAAAAGAACTATGCTATACTACTATGAAGATATGGACAGATGACACCAAGATTAACCAAAATGATGGAAGGAGAAAAGCATAGTAAAGAAAAGAATAGCTTAAGTCACACATGGTGGAAGCAGTGTTATGACACGGGCATGAGTAGCTGCCATAGAACCAAGCCACTACTGTTGTCAATGATAGCACTGGTGATTTGTGAAGTGTAAAGGGCAATCTGTTCAGATTCAGCCAAATGCAAATGCTAAATTGATTGGACAGTGTAAATTGATAATAACCCAAAGCATAACAAGCCAGCTCAGTTACCTGATCTGACTGTAAGGCTGTAAAGAATTGTAAAGAATTTTAATCCTTGTATTAAAAATAATACATAAAATGGTGTTAGCTTTCAATCACTTGTCTAAAGCAACCATCTTTAAAGATGGTGGATAATGTATAAAATTGACTGTAATTCCTAATCAGCTGGTGCCATTTTTTAATAAAATACCTCGAAGGAATTGCACTTTAGTATCATCTTGATTGTTTGGTATTAAAATCCAAGGTGGTGGTGCACAGCAAAATTAAGATGATTTTGTTATTATCCAAACTATTATGGGTGCAACTGTATGGGCAATATTTTTTTCAGAAATAATATTTGGTAACTTGTACTATAAAAAATGCCACAGTAACAAAAATAATGATGCAAGCTTTTGAGATGATGTTTTATTTTATTTGTTAACAGCAATGAAAGATAATGGATACTACTATGCTGGCCAGATCATGGCAATGTCAATTGCCCACGGGGGACAGAGTCCATGTTTCTTGTCTGAACTCTTCTATGAGTGTCTTCAAAAGGGTCCAGACAATGTAAAAGTCAGCACTGATCATATTACTGATGAGGAAACAAGGTCACAAGTGCAGTCGGTGAGCATATTTTCCTTTGGTTCTTTCAATTTCATTGTAGGTCTTTTTTTGCTTGTCCAACATTTTACTAACACTTCCCTAATTTTTCTTGCCCGAGTCCTGCACCTTTCTAGTAAAAGATCAAACATTTTAATGGCTACAAGAAGGAAGAACTAAAATGTGTGTGGCAGGTTATGGTTCTGTTGGTTACTGCCCAAGAAACTCCAAGTTTCAGTTTTCAGAATTTAATGATTGCACTTGTTTTCCAGCTTAATAACTTATACCTCAGCCTCCTGATCGGTTATGGGGTTTCATTTCATTCTAAATAAGCTTCATGTGTGTCTTTCAAATTACAGCTTACTTTTAAAAATATATACATGTTTCACTTTTGATTTAATCTTTTGGTAATTTAATGTATCTGTACATCAGTAGTCTTAGTCAGAATATCATTATGATTTTGTATTTTTCTATCTTATAGTTGAAAATGATGTCTCTTTGGAAGATATTCTTGTTTTCTGCACTGGATGTGACAGCATACCAGCCCTGGGTTTTTCTCCAAAGCCAAGCCTTGAGTTCGTCACTAACTGCAGATTTCCAGTGGCCAATACTTGTGAAAATATCCTTCGTATACCAGTTCATGCAGTGTACACTACTTTCAAATCAGACATGGATTTTGCAATACGGAATTCACCAGGATTTGGAAGAGCATGATGTGTTTTCTTAAGGATTGGTGACATGATGAGGATTTGGGTTTTTTTCTATTTTGCATATGCATTTTTTATTTTCTTGTTTTTGTTAATGTTGTTAACCCCGCATCAGAGTACACCCTGGACAGCAGTAGGACTGTATAGCCTAAATAAGCTTCATGTGTGTCTTTCAAATTACAGCTTAAATACCAGTTCATGCAGTGCACACTACTTTCAAATCAGACATGGATTTGATAAGCCGAAGAGAATGGATAGAATAATTTTGTTTCAGTTTATACATGTGAGGCATTTTTTTGTTTTTTGATTGTAGTTAATTTGTTTTCCTGCTTATATGGCATGTTTTGTCTCTGGTATGACCCATAGTAACATTACATTATTTAGCACCCCTGCAGTGAGCAAAATAATATGCCACAATCTCATTGTTATATAGAATTAAGTTTTCTCAAATGCTTCCTGTGTTCAACTATTCCACATAATGTGAATTTTCAAATGAGATGAGTTAAGCTTTATTTCAGTGTCCCATTTGAACATTTATGCTTTACACAGAACTTTGTATTAATATCATTTAACTTTTAGCTTAACTCACAGGTTTAAAAATGTTTTTGTTAGGTTTTGGTAAAGTTTTGAAAAGTATTACAGTAACCCTACATACTAAAAGGTAGAAAGACAGTATCTCCAACACTGGCAGCAAAGTTGTCTATAAATGTGACAGACATTGGTTAGGTCAAACCTGGTTATGTTACAGGTTGAAATATGAACATTATATCACACTATATGACATTACAATCTTATCAAATTATTATATATTATCAAAGTATTATAAACAATAATAATAATAATAATGATAATAAACATAACCTGGTTTGCAGGGAGTGTTTTAAGGATTTTGTTTGCATATTTTACTATACTACTTGATAACACAGGCTCATTGTAGATTGTTTGGGGTTTTTTCCTCTTTCATTTTGTTTTTTTAAGACCAGCCCTATTACTGCAGAATATTATTTCCTTCCTATGGGTACTGGAAATACACAAATAAAGTGTTCTGTGTTTCTACTTTTTATGTAATTTGTGTCTTTAAAAAAAGTTTAAAGAGTTTAAAATGTATAACATTTTATTTAATGAATGAATCATAATTCCTGTTTATTAACAGATACATTAGTACATCATACAATCATATGTAACATATACTGTAACATTTTGTACTGTGACAAGTATGGTTTGTCATGAAAGAAAAGTGTAGTCTAAACACTTTATTTGTCTACTTTTATGATTTAAATGGCACAAGTGAATATGAAGATAAAACCAGTCTTTTTATCTTACCTTTCTTTTACCTAAATAATAGTCTTGGACCCTTTTCAGTATCATGATATTTCACAATTTTTAGTGTCTGGCACTCAAATACATTTTTTAATTAACACAAACAAATTTACTAATAACTTAACTGAAGCATGCGGCATGCTGTCAAAAAAACCTCTATCCCATGATTTCCATCGTCACTCAAGGGGTCGATCTGCCTCAAGTCAGCCGTCAACTGCTGGTGATGGTAAGAACGATGTCTGAAGTGCACTTGACTGAGCGGTCTGTGATGCTGAGGAAGTTGCAACATTCCAACAGTCCACAGCTGCAGCGGGGAGTGATTTTCCATTGTCCTTAAGCTGTGATGGTTCCACTGATTTACAAATTCATCCACAGATCTGTTAATTCTTGGAAGATATACATGGTGAAGAGCCCTAATATGAAATGGATCAGTGCTATCTAAAATCCCAACATTTTCCATAAAGAGGAAAAGGTCTTTAAAGTATGCTGACACAACTCTGTTTAGTTCACCCCACAATCTTTCAATTCTTTGATTATGCACACTTCGTCCAACCATAAAGCTTCCTCTGTTTGGCCCTCGATGTTCAATCATAAACCGTGCAATATCAATATTCTCACTGCCAGCATCACCCCTGACACGTTGTGGGAGGCCAAAGAGATCAACGGCACTCTGGAAAAGTTGCATAGCAGTTGATGCTCTGTTATCTGTGCAGCATCTCATGTAGGTAATGCAGCGACTGTAGCCGTCAACTCCTCCATGAAACACAAACCCCCAAGGATTTAACTTATGGTTTGTGTCAATATGCCTGGAATAAGAAGAAATATATTATTATTATGACACTAGATGTACATTAAAATAAAGGTCTATGACTTTGACTTTGTACTTCTGTCATGTAACCTATTTCTGGAGATAAACAATATTTTAAACCCAGACATTATACAACATTGTTTATTAAAACACAAACAAAATATTATATTACTACAATGCAGGAAGTAATAATTAACATTAATCAAATTTAAGACGTGAAAAAAGGCATACCACACTTGATTTGGGACAGTGACATTGTAGACCCTCCGCTGAATTGCTCTCCGTCCTCTCAAAGCTCTTCCCACTGGATCAACTATTCTTAAACGTTCTCGCACTCGCCACCACTGAACTCTGATTCCTTCTCCTCTCAAACTACCACTAATGTAGGATTCTCCTGAGCCAGGGGTATGTGTAAGAATCTCAGTAATGAGATGATCAAGATCCACATTTGAAATATTATTAAAATTTCCATAGTCCACTAAACCTAGTTGTATCCTGTGGTTGTACAGTGTTCGAACATTTACTGACAACATTTGAGATATGGCCATCCAACTAAACCCCAAGTCTCGCATGTCAGTCAGCTGAGTAGCTGGTATGTTGTACCTAAAAGAGTTAGAAACAAAAGAAGAAATATGTTAACTTCTTTCTTATTTCTTGCATTCATTATCTTGTTTGCCATCTCTTGACTCTTTCAAGTGCCATACACATTATGAATGAATTTGTTTCCATTTTTATCACTTACCTTGGCCTTCCTCTTTGAGATGTAGAATGATATAATGAGCCCATAACATGTGCTTCAGCTTCTGCTCGAAGTGTTAGCTCAGTTGACATCTCCATCAGTGATTGATAAATTCCCTCAAGAAGTGTGCATAATCTTCTCCCAGAAACATTTTGTTGAACATTATTCATGAGCACTAGAAATGTTGCAATAATGAAAACGTGTTCTTCAAGGTGACGTAGTATAAATTCCAAATTATTTCTACCATTTGCAGTTTGAACAGCTGTCGCAAAACAGTTGTCAAGCTCTAAAAAGTACTGAAATAGTTCAGCTGATGCCATTTTGTAAAGGCAGAGAATTCAGAAACACATCATCTCTAAAAATGAGGTTCATACATTCTATATATTCAAGTTTCATTCTATATATATTCAAGTTTCATTCTATATATTCAAGCTTCATTCTATATATTCAAGTTTCATTCTATATATTCAAGTTTCATTCTATATATTCAAGCTTCATTCTATATATTCAAGCTTCATTCTATATATTCAAGTTTCATTCTATATATTCAAGTTTCATTCTATATATTCAAGTTTCATTCTATATATTCAAAAGATCATTCTATATATTCAAGTTTCATTCTATATATATTCAAGTTTCATTCTATATATTCAAGTTTCATTCTATATATTCAAAAGATCATTCTATATATTCAAGTTTCATTCTATATATATTCAAGTTTCATTCTATATATATTCAAGTTTCATTCTATATATTCAAAAGATCATTCTATATATTCAAGTTTCATTCTATATATTCAAGTTTCATTCTATATATTCAAGCTTCATTCTATATATTCAAAAGATCATTCTATATATTCAAGTTTCATTCTATATATTCAAGTTTCATTCTATATATTCAAGCTTCATTCTATATATTCAAAAGATCGTTCTATATATTCAAGTTTCATTCTATATATTCAAGTTTCATTCTGTATATTCAAGTTTCATTCTATATATTCAAAAGATCATTCTATATATTCAAGTTTCATTCTATATATATTCAAGTTTCATTCTATATATATTCAAGCTTCATTCTATATATTCAAAAGATCATTCTATATATTCAAGTTTCATTCTATATATTCAAGTTTCATTCTATATATTCAAGCTTCATTCTATATATTCAAAAGTTCATTCTACATATATATTTAAGTTTCATTCTATATATATTCAAGTTTCGTTCTATATATTCAAGTTTCATTCTATATATTCAAAAGATCATTCTATATATTCAAGTTTCATTCTATATATTCAAAAGATCATTCTATATATTCAAGTTTCATTCTATATATTCAAGAGATCATTCTATATATTCAAGCTTCATTCTATATATTCAAGCTTCATTCTATATATTCAAGTTTCATTCTATATATTCAAAAGATCATTCTATATATTCAAGTTTCATTCTA